GGTTACTTTGGACAGATATGACTAACCTCGGGTGGCATCTGTTTAGGGTATCCCAGTTACTACATCACCTGGGTGCACGAACGTCGTAGCTACACAGATTTCATACAGTCCGGACAGTCAGTCTAGTATTAGGCCTTGCTTGAAACGTATGTTGAAATTTATCTTATGTGTTTGAATGTGAGAAATGTATGTTTATACTTGACTTAAATTATATAAGCTTACCCTGTGTTTCCTATCTTGTCTTGTTTTGTACGTCCGTCTTTGTCATTGCAATGATCATCCGTGTGGATGTGAGTAGAAGGAGACGAGCTACTGGAAGAGGCGCTAGAGGAAGATAATCTGGTTGAGGTTGAAGTGAAGACCGAATCGTAGTACGTTCTGACCTTAGTTTAGTTTGAATGAAAGGTGGTTGTTCGATCACTTTCCCCTTTTGATTTATTTGACCGTTCGGTATAGGCTTTTGTAAACCGTTCGGTCAGATATTTTTAAAACCTATACAGTTTAAAGTTATAATTCTTTTTGTAAGGTCGCTCGTCCGTAAGCGTACGTTTGGTTTTAGTGTAAAGACTGATCTGAATTATTAATTAATGTGATTATTCTATTATATAGTTTTGGACTGTATTTTTGGGATGTTCCAGTAATCGATGAAAATATTTAAAATGGGAAATGTAACAAAGTAGTAATACTAATGAAGAGGCTTACATACGAAGTAATCATAACTAATAACTTGTGAATAATATAATGTCCAATTGTTATTTTTTTAATGTCCAATTGTTATTTTTTTATTTGTTATGTAATAATAACACCTTAACAGAAGAAAAAAGATTGATCAAATTCTAATGAATGTTTGTTCAAATTATTTTGAAGTTCTTCATTGATCTCCATGACATCATTCTGATATTTTCATTTCCTTAATCACCAAGGCCCTTGCCTGGTTTATTGTGACAAGGCACAAGTACACATGTTCTTCAAGTTCTTCCACTTGTTTTCTGAATCCTACATCACTTTTCTTAAGCTCCTTCACAACCTCAAATGATAATTTGTCTTCTTTCCTGTCCAAACAGAACTGCACCATTTCTCTGTTATGCTCAATTTCATCACGAAGCCGAGCTACAAGTCTACTCATCGTGTCAAAGTCTCTATTCAATATGTAAGTCCCCTTGGCTGCTATGTCAAGCTGCTCATAAACTTTACCAAGAGACCCTTTTCTTGAAACTTTACAGCCTCTAAGCTCCCTCTTAAGATGCTTAAATGGGAAGCAGAGAATTGCTGGCCCCAAGATTACTGCTGTCAGAGTATGTGTGGCTATAAACATGGTTGTGATTGCCACTAAGGCACAAGCTGCAGTGACACAAAACCAAGATGTCTTCATCAAATACTTCATGAGCTTAATTTTCCTTCCCACTCTTTTTCTCATTGACTTTAGATGGCACAAAACTGATGAGTGCTTATCATTGATGAGCTTGAAGTCATGGGTTTTAAGGTTTGAAAACGGGTCATTTGAGTAGGTGAATGAGTTTAGCTCAAAGATGACCACTTCAAAAGTTTCGAAAGAGTCACCATCCTTAATGTCCAGAACTCTTTGAATGAACTGATAATAAGAGAGGACTTGGCTGATGCTTTTGAGAAGATTACAGCAAATGTGTGAAGCCTCTGCGCTTATGTCAAAGTAACTAAGCATAAGGTTTTTGAGTTTTGGTGTCTTTGAAAGGGTTCCTGAATCAACGATGGAAAATATAGTTTCTTGGCAAGGTTCAAGGAGGACTTTCGAAAAATTGTCATGGTTGTAATTAATGGAAGGCTGGTTTGCAAGTAATTGAGCTTTACTGTAGAAATCAACATAGGGCTTTGTTCTTAGTGTCCTATGGTACTCATCATGGAAGTTTATGCTTTTCAGGGCTTCTCTGCACTCCTTCACATCTGTGATGTTAAATCATGATACAAATTACAGGAAAGACTTGCCAAAACAATGTTTTAGTCTTGCTACTTGAAAACTTGATGCAAGAATCAGAATGCTGGTGAGAAATGGTAACAGAGAAATTTTATGCTTGGAAAAGAAGGACTGATAAGTTAATTTATAAATATAGGATTGCGTGAAGAAGAGGGAAAATTGAAATTTGACAAACAATAAATATATGGGTGAACAACATTATTTATATGTTGTGTGATGAAGCATTAAACATGATACATGTTTTTTACCGTTCCTTTTAATTTTTCCGACACCATTACCCAAACATGATACAAAATGATTAATATTTTCAAATTTTGGTTAATCATTTTTGACAAAATAATCGCATGAATCATGTTGCTTTAGATTTGCATGGGTTTGAAACAAATAGAGAAGCCAAATGAAAAAAAAAATTAAGGCTGAAGTCGTAAAACACATACCTTGAGTTTTCCAAGCTCTTAATTTTGGCGACATAAGGTTTATTGATCCTAATAAAAACTTGATAATTAATAACGAAGTTAACTGAACAAACTTGGCTCTAAAAAATCTTGCTATTATACAATCTCAATATCCCTGATATAATTGTAAGCCTATAATGCTAATGATCATATCATATTCGTAACAGCTAGGTTGTGTATGGAAGATGATACATATTTAAATTTAATGTGTTTATAAAGCCTCTATTACTGTTGTTAATTTCAAGGATTCTGGTTTAAGCTTTCTCTCGGATATTGGGATCTTCTAATCTCATCCACAAATACAGAGATAATAATTTCTTTGCCAACTTGTCTGCAAGCTTAAGGCTGAAATTGCTGGAGATATCCCTTTTCTAATTATTTGCTTCGCGTGGGTTTTTCCTCATTTCAATTACCTAATTTTGTAAGGTTACACCATTCTATCCTACAGTATATCATGCAGGCAGAGATACTTTCATCCCAGAAAGTAGATTAATTATTTTACATCCTTCAAGTAGATTAAGAAATAGTTAATACACCCTGTATCATTAAATATTTCTAATCATTTGAAATAGTTTTTTTTAATGAGTTTTAATTTGAAACACAGAAAATATTTTTAAACAGTTTTTCGATTTTTTTATTTTCTCAATCAATGTTTTTAGCACTTGTTGTGTTACAAGTCCTGCTAAGAAATGCGTTTGTATATATACGTGAAGAAAAGGTTAATTAATAGATGGGAAATTTAGGTAAAACTGTGTTTGTGGTTTCTGGTTTTTTACATGTATAATTTGTTTACCTGCTGATTGATGCATGGACCATCTCCAACCTTGCAAGCAATCTGTTTATTGTCCTATTATTCGGCATGCACACATAGCTTCAAGAAGAAAAGGCTGAAATCAAATGTATACTTGTCATGGCTAACCACCTATCATCTTTAATCATTTGGTTTATTCCTTTTTAAGTTAAAAATATCCCTTAGTCAATCTCGTTCCCATTGTCGTTATTGTAGGCATACATGGCCCCTAATAATGTTCTGTTGTTACGTTTTAACCAATTGAAAGAGACATGCTTATATATAAATTGAGTAACTGTGTATAAGCGTAAACCTTGCTAGTTTTGAGAAACCAACAGCTTGTTTGGTTAGGTATCGATGTGAACATTCTCAAAGTGGAAAAGAAACAGATACAACAATGCATTCTTATACGTTAATTAGTTGTCACTCGGAAATATAGTCTCCTACGCTACATCGCCAAGTGTTTGCTCTAATGTCAAGCAGAAGGGATCGGTATTTCAACTGGTAATTATTAATTATGAAGTGTGGTTAACAATAATAGAAGCAGTGGTACATGAAAATTATCATCTTATCATCTCGATTAATTAAATAAGTGATTTTCTATCATCTAGAAGGGTTGATTTTAGAATAGGGTAGGCACAATATGTGAATTACACGCGTAGGATATATGGGAGCTGGATGCTCCACGCGTAGAAAGGACTTAGCATCACCGATCAGTAAACGACATAAGAATGAGCGATGCATAAAATTAGACGCAAACTTTTGGAGGTTTTGAGCACAAAGATACTCAACCGCTTATAGTCCCACAAGAAAATGGATGTGTGTGGGTGCGTGCAAAGTTCAATTTCGGACAAAGGAGTTTAAGACTTATATGAATATGCATGCTGCTCTTTCACAATTTTCTGATGATTTGCAAAGGAGATTACTTAATACAGGATACATACTATATTATTTATTACAAGAATCATGTATTTTTGTAACTCTTCCTTTCCCGTGAGTTTCATTCTGCTTTAAGTTAAACATATTTATGGTCTGTGTTTGAGCTGGGATAAGTCATTGTACTAAAATATTTGTTTTGATTCTTATTTTTGGTCTTCATTACCCATAAGCAAGAGAAGGTAACTAAACGCGTCACTGTAATTATTATTTATCTAATAGAATAGTAATACAGTACATAAGTTATATATATGAAAATAATTTTCTCGTATTAAAAAAAAATTATGTCAATTCATTACAATGATAAATTTGTAAATCAATTTAATCTGTCGTCATTTGAAAATATTAAGATATTCTTAAAGCACACGCATAGCTTCGATGTAATTTTTAGACATCCGAAATCTCCTAATTGAATGTAGAGTAAATATTAATACATGAATTCAATAATTGATTAAAAAATCTTTGGGGACCTATAATCTCAATCTCGTAAAATTCACATAAATATATCTTTCCCAATTACATTTTATATAAAACACATTTTACTTTAAAAAATATAAAAAAGCAATTAAATATATCAGAATATTTTCTACAAATTTTTATAATAATCATATTCACTAAGAAATACACTATTGAAATCAAAACAAATTTCTCTCTTCGTCTTAGCGACCTCGAAAATGAAAGCAGTTTTCCTTTTGCTTCTTTTTGGAGGCAGAATCTTTTCATTGAAACGAAAGACAGATTTAATAAAATTTAAAATAAATTACAGCGAAAATGCCAAATACGAGATATTTTATAAAAATGTAAAAAGGAGTAACTAAAGTGACTTTGACGATGGTCTATTTAAATAAATAAAATGGTAGAAGGAAAAGAGTAATAGAAGAAGAGTAAAACCAAAAACAGCCCACGCAAGGCCTTGGGGATGGGGGGTTTCTACTCTGCAGCTTGCACACTCTAACTTGTTCACTTTCAAATTCCAAATTGCAAATCCCAAAACCAAAACCCTAGGAGAGAGACACGGAGACACGGAGACACTGAATGATTGATTGATGGCATCTTCCAAGTTAATGGCTTCTTCCCATTCACGGAACTCAGAGTCCTCCTCTCCTTCTCCCACGCCTCAATTTACCACCACCAACTTCATCCCCATCTCCGACGCCGCCGTCACCGCCGCCCCCAAGACCGTCGATGATGTGTGGCGGGAGATCGTGGCCGGAGACCGCCGCGAATGCAAGGAAGAGGCTCCTGACGACGAGATGATGACTCTCGAAGACTTCCTCGCCAAGGCCGGCGCAGTCGACGATGACAACAATGAAGAAGTCGATTGCGACATGAAGATTCCAATGCCCCTCACGGAGAGGCTTGGCAGCGGCGTCTTCGCCTTCGATCCCCTCCTCGCCGCGACGCCGTTTCAGGATGGAGTGGAAGGCTCCGTCATAGGGTTCGGGAACGGCGTGGAGGTGGTTGAAGGCGGGAGAGGAAAGAGAGCACGTCCCGTTTTGGAACAGTTGGATAAGGCAGCGCAACAGAGACAGAGGAGGATGATTAAAAACAGAGAATCTGCTGCTAGGTCTCGGGAACGCAAGCAGGTATCTGTAGTGATGTGGATATGGTATATATGTGTGTTTGTTTCAGTGTATTTGACTTTTCGTTGTTGGTTGTGATGTGAATTCGTTATTCCAGGCTTACCAAGTGGAATTAGAGTCCTTGGCGGTGAAACTAGAGGAGGAAAACGACAAGCTCTTGAAGGAAAAGGTGCTTTAGTTTTCATTGTTTTGAAGTTTTGTCCCGGGGGTACTTTCAGTTTTCATTAGCCATGCTACTTGTTTTTTGTAATCATTGCAGGAGACAATAAGTTTTGTTATGTGTTGAACTTGAAAGTTGAAACCCTTCCAGTGCTGACTTTTCGTTTTTGGTTTGATTTGGCTGATCATTGATTGGGTTTTTGGCCTGGTCTTGTTCCCTGACCTGGTTCCGTTACCTTGCTGTTGGGTGCTATCTATTAATATTTCGGATTGCATTGATGGACTTTCCTTTCGTAAACACGCTTCCAGGTCATATTTTTCTCTCGCTTTCATCATAAATGGGTTCAGTGTTATTCTCTATTTCTAATTCCGTCACACCTGAAGTCATCCTTGCTTAAGTATAACCTGTCTTGTTTCTTGGCATCTGCTTATGCAGTAAATGTTTCTGAAGCCATGAATATTTTGTAGTTAATGCTGTCTTATCATTGGAATAAAATGTCTGAGCGATTGTGCTCCCAGTTGCTTTAATGCTGTTACAATTATGATCCAATTGTAATCACTTTTACCCTCTCTCTTATATTGTAGACACGTATCTCACATTTTTAGATGCTTGTACAAAATTGGGATAGGTTTGATATTAGTAATAAACAAACTTTGGTTAACCTGTCACCACTTTTTTGTTGACATTGTATTTGATGCTCGCCTTGAACTTTTTAGATATGGGAGGATTTTTTCTGTCATATTTTGAGAAATAATTTTGTATACCTTTTATGTACGATTTTTACACCAATATATTTTGACAAAATGTTGTAATCTTACCACTATTATTTTTCATACAAGTGTGATAACTTCACCGGTGTTTTATAAACAGATATGTTTACCATTGCCCATTGTTAAGAATGCTTGTATTATTTTTTATGTTGAAATATCACTGTTTCCCTCATTGATTGTTCACTGAAATTAGTGATATTTGGGCAATGGCACCGCCTTTTTCCAATTACAAACATGGGCCGGGGGAATGGGACACTGTTGATTGAAGTTCACAGAATTGGGTCAGTGCATAATCTTCAATCTATAATGTCGAGTCCGCTCTCTACCTCCATTCTTGGGATGGGGAAATGTCTATTTCTGCCTCAGAATTCAGTCTCTATCTATACCTGAGCCATGATGTTCTGATTTTTATTCCCTAAACACTTGCTTAGGGTCTTGTTTTCACTGCTAACACGTTTGAATTTGGAATGTTTCTTCAAGCATTTTGGGTTGCAAACAGCCCACATTTTGGACTGTATTCCAAAACAGAGGATGTAACTTGTAAGGGGTTTGAGTGTAGCCTGTAATACAAGTTCTACTTTTGTGTCTCATTTCCTTTTGTCCATTTGCCTTGGTAGCTTTAGAGTTTATTATGTATTTTTACCCTCTAATCTCTTACTAAAGATTTTATTGTGCAGGCCGAGAGGAAAAAAGAGAGGTACAAGCAGGTACTGATTTGTTCTAAGAACTTAGTAAGCTTTTTGACGATTTTGGTGAAAATGTTTATGATAATAATTTGAATATTGCTTTGAAGGCATTTTTTCTCTGTTGATACTGGTATAATATATTATTGGTAAATATTTCTTCTAGATATTTTGTCTGAAAACATAACTGGTAATTAGTCATGAATACAAACATGTTTTATTGGATTATGAAGGTTGTTTGTATATGATATAAGATATAGAAAATTAACCCAGTGCTCATACTGAATTTATTATCGATAGTGCCCATAATGATTTAATAGAGATGCAATGCAACAAAACTGGTCTGCCATGTATGATGATATTAGACCTAGCTGTGTTGTTTCATGAAGCTTGTAGCATTGGATTGTTTGCTATCTTGTGACTATATTAAAGTGTGTTTATAGAATAGATGTTCGCTGTAGAAAGTGATTGGATTACGACTGACCTTTGGCGTTTTTGGGCAGCTAATGGAAAAAGTACTCCCTGTAGCGCAGAAACAAAAGCCGCCGTGTATACTCCGTAGGGCTCGCTCCTTGCAGTGGTAGATAAAATTTGCTAGTTGTGCAGCTGCATGACAGTTACTGAATTAGTCCCATCAGTGGTGGGGGAAGTAATAACAGGACCAAACTAATCATCATGTCTTAAATGATAGTTCTCAGCCTAACGGTTAGTGTCAAGGGCGATCTTGTTTAATGATACGAAGAGATAGATAGAAGGAATTGAATCGGAAGGGCTAAGGAAAATTCCTTATTGCGTGAGAAACAGCAGTTACTTATTCGTAGGTGTAAAAACAGAAATATGGAGTTGGATCATGTAGTTTTAGATGAGTTTGACTTCCTGGTCTCTCTCCCCTATGCAGTGTCAATGTGTAATAGTAGATAGCAAAGGGGATTTGCAGACGAGTATATATCTTTATTTGGAGAAAAGTCTATAGAAATTGTTAATGCGACCTGTAAAAGCGTTATAGTATGGAAAATTCTTGTGCGTGTGAAAGATAATCTCTGATGTCCGGAGATACGGGAGTATTTCAGTCTCAACTTAAGAACCCGATTCTGTTGTAAAATACCAACGAGCGCTGTTCTTGACGCGAATAATTTATTGATTTTATTGTAATTCTTTTTTGTTATCCGTAGGCCTCTTTTAGAAAACCGAAGTTAATTATAATGATTCTATAAATTGACAGAGTTCTTGAGAAGCGAGAGGCAAATGAGGAGAAAATATTAAATAGACCAAAGACAATAAATATGATGCTTCCTCTTTGTCGTTGCTATCCTTGTGGTCTCGTTATCTGTATGTTGGACCACGTGCTGAGATTAAATGAAAGCAAAGCTGCCACCTTAGGGAAAGACATGGAGCCTTATGTTTTTTACTGTCCCTACTTCCATAGAGCAATTGTTGTACCATTTTACAGCAAGAACATTACTCACAATTGTCAATGTTAAAAATTAAAGTCACAGTTCTGTAGTTCAGAGCTCTAACAGTAAGAGGATATACTAATAAATGATATTGGGGACACATCAGTTAGTTTAAAAAGAAAATGAATCACGTGGTTGATAAAAAAGTTTTCCATTAATTATAATATTCGATATTCTTAATTTCTTTCTCTCTCTTCTATATCATTAGACTATTAATGAGAGCTGTTTATAAAATTACCTATAAATAAAAAAAAATATTATTTCAATATGATACTGAAAACAAATAATTTGAAAATAAAAATTGTTTAAGTAAACAACTTTCTCTAATTTATGAACATTTTTAATTTTAAGTAATTCACATTACTGATATTTATATTAAAATAATATTTTTTATTTTAAAACAACTTTTGTAAACAACTTCCAAGATGTTATATAGCCCATGTATTGACAAAAGAAGAAAAATAAAACGAAGTGTTTGTAATATAAGAGGAAGCGTGACAAAGAAGAACATATTATAATACTTTACGAGACCCATACATTCTTGGAATAGATTTAATATAGTATATTATTGGCATTTCATTCTCCAAGTAATTGTGGCGTGTAGGTTTTTGTTTGGTCGTAACTTATTTGATTGAGATGATATCACACTTATGCACAAAAAGTATTATGGATATAAGAAAGATTGTAAGAGAAGAGTTATATTATACTAATGTAATATAAAGAAGTTAAAAATGACCTCAACCCTCCCAAAAAATAAAAATAAAAATGTAGCTCCCTGATCAAAATATTATTTATTTATTTATTATAAACGATAAAATCTCAAAAAAAAAATTTACATCTAACCTAAAAAGGACCACACTTTTACATAAAATTAAAATGCCAAGCCCTTTTACTATCAACTTGTATTATTATTATTTTTCTCTCTATATTACCAATGATATTATTAAATAAAAATTGTTAGCATTCAAGCAGAAGGAAAAAAAAAAGGATTTGTTGAAAACTTTATTCCCGGTATTGCATCAAAGTGTGAGTAACATTGCATCGTAGAAAGTAGGGAGCAAAACTTCGTTCAAAATAAAAGGGGTAAAGGAGAAAGGCAATTTTTATTTCTCAGCACCCAAGAAGAAGGGGTTTTTTGAATTGAAAAAAGAAATCAGTATTGACCACATTATTGACTGCAGGTTTATAATCACAGCACTAATCATTTTAGAATTATAATCCCCATCATCATACTTCAGAACCCAAAAAACTTCCTAGTGATTGCGTTCCTGTCCATTTTTTCAACCTCTTTTGCCACAATTTTGAGATTAGATTTTTCAGAAACAAAATCTCACAACCTTTTGCTGTGTAAAATAATAATATTAGCACCCCCTTCCCAACACCCATGTCTGGCACCCATTCAAACTCTTCCTTATCAAAAAGCCAAACACACCTGACAATTTAACAGTCTCCTTCCCCACACACACTCTCTCTCTCTCTTCCACATCAAACACAGTTTTCAAAATCCTCTTTCTTTTGCCATTCCATAATTACCCAGAGAGCCGAGAGCCGAGCCAGAAATAAATACAACACTACACCAGCAAACCCTCCCTATTTCAGTTTCCCTTCAAAATCAAACCACATTCATCACAATGCATTTCCCCATTCTCTTTCTCCTTCTCCTACCTTCCCTCTTCAAGCTTTCACATTCAGCCACAATTCTCGTAGACGGATCTTCAGAGTGGAAGAACCCCACAGTTTCCATCGGTGATTCCATCAGTAAGTGTCAACACCCAGATTTGGAATCTACATAAACAATGTATAACAATCTCTACCACTAGCATCTAACATCACTCTGCCTCTTCTCTTTCTCAGTTTTCAAGCACAAACAACATTTCAACCTCTACATTTTCAAGAACGAGAAAGCCTACAATCTCTGCAATATCACCCAAGCCACTCTTCTCACCAACCCCTACACGGTAAGACCCTTAAAGCCTCATTCTTTACTTTCAGCGGCGTTATCTTTTCCAATTTCCTTAACCAAGATAATGTTTTTCAGTGGCATCCATCACGACCCGGTTTCTTCTATTTTACCTTCCACGATGGGTCACTCAGGGCATGCAAAGATTCTGAAAAGCTAGCCATAGAAGTTGCTTCTTCAGCAACGGTTCCAGAACCTTCTCCAGTGGCAACACCAGCTCCTTCTTCTGGTGGAGAGGTACCATCTTCCCCTTCATTTCCGTGGCCGTTTCGTCCACATCAAGCTGCTTCTTCACCTGGCCCAGCACCACAAGCACAAGCAGGTTCACCGGTGACGGTTCCGTTAGTGCCAGATAAAGGTGGCATGCCCTTCATTAACAGCAATCCTGCGGTTCCTCTGCCTACCGGTGAAGTTGATTCTGCCACCATACGCCCCATACCCACCTCTGGCCATCCAGGACAGGTGCCCATACCATACTTCTCTTTCTCTCTACTAAAGCAACCACGCATTTATTGTGCAGCGTTTCTATTTTTGTTGTTTCTGTGTCATGCACTTTCCCTTAGTTTGCACAAACAATAAATTGTAGACCATGTGCAAGATTTTGAAAAAAGCTTCCCAGCTGCAATTTCCACCCCAATGTCTAGTTTTTGGAGTGATTGCAACCGCAGTCAGACTTCAACATTAGCAACAATAGTTATATTTATCTGCAATTTCTTCCAATATCATGAAACACGAAGAAACTGCACCCGCGAACATGATTTAAATTTTACCATAATGCTATCTGAGGTTTTAAATTACTATTGTAGTCATAATTTTATTACAAACAGTTGACAATACAGAAGACTATAGATAAATATGTAGATATAATATAACTACAATAGTGATGGGTGACTGTAAAGTAAAAAAGAAATCATTGATATTGTGACTGAAATTGTTCTGACACAGTTTTTAAAAGGATAAAATTATGGTGTCAATTTTTTCATTAGGTTGAAAGTAGATCAGCACACTAATAAATAAATAATAAATTAATGATAAAATGATGGAAAATGATACTTGAACAACCATTTTTGACAACATTTAGACACGCGCACACGTGTCAAAATCTGAGTGGTCCAGTTGGAAAAATTAAATGAAAATGGACCACTCAGATTTTGACACGTGTGCGCGTGTCTAAATGTTGTCAAAAATGGTTGTTCAAGTGTCATTTTCCTAAAATGATACATGTATGGTGTTAAAATATTATAAAAATATCTGTGTTAAAATATCTTTTTTTCTTTTGGTTATTTCTCGGTCCGTTTTAGTCCAATGTTTTCGTGCGTGTTTTAGTTATAGTGTCTTACGTGATGTATTTGCAACATGCAAATGAACCATAAATGTTGTGTTATGGTATAATTGATGTTATTGCTCATAAATGTGTGTATCTAAATGTGGTCATTAGCCACGAAAGTGCACACAGATAATAAATATTATGCTGTCTTTTAACTGATGTTAGTGCACCTAAATGTGTATCTATGTGTGTACCTAAATGTGGTTTATTAATTAGCTACAAAAGTGCAGATAAATCATAAATGTTATTCTGTCTTTCAATTGATGTCAGTGCACCTAAATGTGTATCTATCTGCGTACCTAAATTTGGTGTAACAGCTACAAAAACAAAAATCATTAACGTTATGTTGTCTTTTAATTGAAGTTAATGCATTCGTATCTATGCATGTACCAAAATGTGGTATATCAGCAAGAAACATGCAACATAAATCATAAATGTTATGTTATGTTGGTGCACCTAAATTTGTGTGTGTATGTGGTACCTAATGTGAATACTTATTAGGCAGAAACTTGCACATAAATGATGAATGTGGTTATTTTGACGTGAGAAGTGGGGTTGATGCATTACTGATTGGAAGTTGGATTGTGTTGTTGTGGTGTGGGTGAGTGCAGATGATGATTGGGTCATTTGGAGTTGGCATTGCTGTGCACATCTTGGTTTTACTGCTGCTGTGAGATGAAGAGAAAAAGAGAGAGTTGGAGCGCAATTTATGCAGAGAAAGAGAACGGGAAGCCAATGGGTCTAAAGTAGCTTTAAGAGTGATGATTATACCATGTATTAAGATGCTCTTACATTCTACTTTGGAATGGTTGCCACTTTTTGTTCCTTGGTTTAAGAAACCAATCGATTACTGCAATTGCTTTTCTCTTTTCCTTCTGATTCCCTCTTGCTTTTCATGGTGATGGTACAATATGGGGTCCTACCTTCACCACTGCATCAAACATGGCACCTTTATGGTGGGGAAACTCTGATGTCAGGCCACTTTCCAACACATACCTCACACCTCAAAATTCCATCCATCTATATATAAAATTCGAGCACTTAAGCAAGTTTTTTTCAAATTGTTTTCATATTATATTATTTATTGATTTTGTTGAATTTCAATCAAGTTTCTTAAATATGACTCTTCTAAACTTCAATCAAATCAATTTATTTTAAACAAAAATCAAAGATGAATATTTTATGTTTTACAATAAACTAAATAAATAATATGGTTAAAAAGATAATAAAACCATTTTGAAAACTATGAAATATGAAACTGTTAAACAACTTGGGAGAAGGTGGGTTGAGAATTTATCTTTTGGAAAACATTAATAAATTTTTCGAATTATTATACTGTTTTTAAAGTTTTTCTTCGTAAAGTAAATGCAGTGATTTTTTAATTAAATTAAATAATAATGGTCTTAAAACCAAGAAAGAAAATGGTCATCTATTTAATGTTTATCAAATTTCTAAAAATTATTAGACTTAACAAATGAATACTTTTTAATAATGAAAACAATAGTAACTAGAATGATCACTCTCAATAAAATTAATTACTTACATTTCCGTTGTAATTATTATTTATGTCAATGGAAGAAAAAAAAACCATGTGCAATAAAAAAATTTATTGTGTTTATCACTTTATTTATATTTATTTATTCATTTTTGCTTGTGTATTACTGTTTCGACGTCAATCGTTTCAAAGAATAGGTTGATTTCGTTTTATTTGTTGTTTTAAAAAATTAAAATATCAATTTTGTTAATATATTTATTAACTAAAGTTTTGAAAAAT